TCTGGATTCCCCTTCTTTCAAAAACAAGGGCTTCATCCCAAACTTAGTGGTGGTCGCTGGTTCTGCAGCTAGGAAAGGGTTTAAGCTTTGTTTAAGAAAGGATATGACAGTGGAGGCTTGTATAGAAACTCCAGCAGGAGATGGATGGTGGTTCTCCTGCCAAGCTCGCTTTTCAGTTCTCCCTTGAGAAAGAATGATTTTGGAGAGATGATACTGCTCAAGTGGATCCTCTTGTTGGCAACCATGCAGTGGAGGGAATGGCACATGTTAATAGCCTTTTCTAAGCTGGCAAGTGACTTTCCAGGCTTTCCAGGCCTCGTGGCAGGTGTGTAACCCCAAACCACTCTCTAAATGATATTGTCATTCCTGGGTGCTGTTCTGGGAGCTGAGAAGCCTCCTAATAGCTTCTCAAGGCCAAGCTGCTTGGTGAATGAGGCTGTGGTAGGTTCAGGGAGGCTTTTCATTAGCCTCACTCTGCTCACAATAGGGACTTCCCGATGGGCTTGGCCTTGGTTGGTCTTTGTGTTCTCTAGCACAGAGATCTGTCATATTTTTCGTGCTTTTCTTTGTTGTTGTCCCCATTCTGCCTTCTCTGCTTTGAGACTTTGTGTTGGACAAGAGATACATGTTAGATGTCCCCTTTGTTCCTGTTAGCTGTTTGGAGACAGGCTCACCCAAGGAGAGTGTGCTGGCTGTGCCTGTAACGTGCACAGCATCTTTGCCTGGAGAGAGGACAGCACAGTATTTTATCGCTTTGGCTCTAGCGGTATCTGAATTGTAACCAAACTCTCTTCCCAGCACAAACAGCTGCTCCAGGGAAGTCAGGGACTTGGAGCTGGCCCAGCAGACACGCTGCAGCTACCAGGGCTGTGGGCGGGAGCGAGGCGGTAGCTTTGTGAGCTGGTTCAATTTTTGAGAGCCGTTTGGAGGCTAATGGGTCTGGGGAGACAGGCACAGGGAAAAGAGATTCTGACCTACGCAATTCTTACGCTGTCTTCCCCGTGGCAGAGTAGGAGCTTTTTCCAGGAGAAGGCAGAGTAATGTGACCAGCATCTCTTACTTGTGTGCTGTCATATTCTCGCCCCAAGGTGATGAATGTCAGGGGTTTGCCCCGAAATTTATATGGTCACGTGCGTAAATGCATACACATGTATCCCTGCAGTGGTTGAAATGGGCTGGTGCACGTGAAAATTTCGTGCTGTTGGACTCCATGGCAATGTAGATAAACAGAAATTATACAGGTGTGTGCACATTGTCATTTTGATTGTGTACATTTACATAACGTGTAAATTGAGTGTGCATGGTCTCTAATATGTGCATATGTGTGTGCACACACAACCACACGTGTTCAGAGACCTGTGCTTTGCACCCTGAGCTTTGTGTTTTCCCAGCCTGAGACCAGCACCACACAGATGATGGTTTCCCTTGGTTTTGAGAGCTCTGTTCACGCCAGAGCAGCAAAGCTATTGACCGGTGTCTCTACCTCAGAGTTTTTGTTGATCTTCCCAGACAATTTGAGCTCGGATCTGAGTGCTTTTGGATGAGGGCAACACCGTAGAATTGCATTGACTGTCCTCTGGAAGTCAGTCGGTGCAGAATAGAGAGGACAAGTCCAGGGATTTTTTTTGCAGCTGGAGAAGGGTGCCTTAGCACTCTGTAGCAGCTGGAGTCCATCTTTGCAAACAGAATATAAAACAATCAGGTAGCAGTGGAGAGTGTGGGAAGGAGAAAAACATGCCCTAACTAAAGGGAGAAAGTGTCTTGCCCCATTGCATGAGCTTTCTCTGTTGTTTTTGCCCTGGCAATATTATTTTTTTTTCTGTTTCACAGCAGCCAGGCTCTTCCCCTGCCCCACTCTATGCTCTGCTTGCTCCGTCTGTGTGCTTGTCTCTTGATGTCAGTCATGCTATTTGATTTGTAACGAGGAAACAGAACATCTTTTCCTTTGCTGCATCCTCCTCTCAGTCCTCTGAACCCCTCACTGCAGGAGGATTGGATTTAGCCACGGAAGAGCAAGCATCAAGGCAATCTCTTAGGGCTCCGCAGAGGCAGCTGGCATTGAGAAAGGGGCAGTGGGGAGCAGTGTCTTTGGGGATGACACAAGCAGCTATCATGCTCGTTTGCTCTCTTTGTGACGCAAGGAGAGGCACTGCCGTGGCAGATGACTGCGCTGTCTCATCCTAGAAGCTGGGAAGGCCTGTGCATGCTTTTCCTCCATTCATGAACCAGCCTCTTGCTTTGGCACCAAACTTGTATTTCAGATCTGGAGGCATGTTCAGATGCCCGGATCTCACACAATGCAGAGCTGCAGAGCTGCTTTCCAACCTTCTCATCTTTTCAGTTGGTTCCTGCTGCTGTCTGGTTTTAGAGGAAAAGTGGAGATCAGGTCTCAGGATCTTAGTGGTACCAGCCTGAGGGGCACTGTGTTGGCTGAGCAGCTCTGCGCTTGCTGATTTATTCATGTGTCTGGCTTAGCTGTCTGCACTTAACTGTTGCCACAGGAGGGATTTGAAACCTTTCCTTGACAGACCTCAGTGTCGAATTGTAAAAGCATGTTTTGAGACTCTGCAGTGTCTGAGGGAGATTATGGGCTCATAGGAGATCTCTTAGTATCACTGTGTCATTCCGTATTCTCCATTCCACAGAAGGTTGTATTTTTTAGTCAAGGGGAAGTCCTTTCTCTGAACCTTGGCTTCCATGTATGTCGGTGATTCTCTTGAAAGTGACGCCTTGCCTTTGTGGTATCTCAGCTCTCCAGCATGGAAGGAGACAGGGGCATGAGAAGACAGGTGGGCAGACTTCTCAAGAGGCATCTGTCATTTCCAATAACACCCAGACTTCCTAAAGGGAATCAATAACTCAGCAAGTTAGAGACAGATGGAAACGGCAGTGACATGGATGAGGTCCACTCAGCCTTCGGGCTGGCTTAGTCCTGCACAGACAAAAGGGAAGTTGTGGGCAAGAGGAGCATCTGTGGGGCCTGAGGTGAGGTATCACGGTGCTCTCCAGATGATACTGCTGCACCTGGCTAGCTGGTGCCCAGCAGCCTTTTGGAGGTGGGAGGTTTCTGGGCAAAGAAACAGGGATGATTTTGGTATTGTTCACATCAGGTGCTAAGGACTAAAATTGCAGCAGTCTTGCCTCTCTACAGACTGTGCCAGAGGAAAGCCGATATGTGCACCAAGTGTTCCGTTTCTCAGTCTCCAGGATTACAGTTTATTAAGTCAACTTCCTTATTTCAGTGTTAGGCTGCAACCATAAGCTTCAGGGGCTTCATCATATTCTGGGGGTGAGAGAAACTTTCCGGACCTAATATCAGAATTGGCTCTCCATGCCTCTGCTGCTGAACTGAGCTGGAAGCCTAATGTAGGACATTTCTGGAAGTATTTCTGTCTGTGGGAGTTAAGCACCAGCCCAGCTAGGCATGGACTGATTTTTTGCAAAATTGTCTTTCTGTTCCCTCATTTCCAGCTAGTACAGTGCACATCTTGCATGTGTTGATAGGATCATTTTAGCACCTAGTGGGCCTTAGGAAAAGCTAGTCCCCTCTGGGTTCTTGTCCATTAACCATGCTTGTAGGTACTGCTGCTGGCAATTGATTCTCACTGCTACTGGTTTCTCCTTCACTTTTATTAAATGATGTTTTCTGTTTGCAGTCTGCTAAATGGTTTGTTGGCTTTGGTTTTGTTCATGCAATAAGTCCAGCTTTCCTGCCAGCACCGACATCACTGCCCGGGGTAATGATTTTTTGGCTGTTCAAAAATGAGTATGAAAAGGTGTCCATTTAATTAGAGGATATCTCAGGATAAATTACCCACGTGTGCAGTGCGGCAGCCTGTTCCCTGCTGCAGAGCAGCTTTCCTCCTCTCTGTTTTTGTCAGGGAAGAGGTGGGACCCAGGTTCTGCATTAACACCTCTGGCTTTTCACCCTCTATAAGCTAAGGCCTGTCTCCTGCACTGGAATGGGAGTTTTGTGAGAAACCTAAATGTAGATTTGGAAAGGAGCAGTCTGCAGGCAGTGGAATTAGTAAAGCTTTATGTCCTATAGCTTTGGCTCTCCCAGTTGAATTTCCCGGGCTCATATAGTAGTATGAAATCCCTGTGTGGATTCACAAATGTTTAAAAGAAATTTGAGTTCATTTTTTTCCTCAGAGAATCTTTAGCGATAGGAATTCATTGGGTTTTTTTAATCCACCTACCTATTTCCATTGCAGTAGTATCCTTGGAACTGCCTCTTTTCTGCCACATTTGGTAGAAATTGATCATTGGGCTTTTAAAGTTAGTAAGTTACAGAGGCAGATGTGATCACAGAGGAATTTTGTCTTGCTTCTGTAGCAAGCCGGGTTCAAAAGACATCATTTATTAAGCATTTTACCTTTTTACCTTATTGGTGTTCCAGGGTGGACGGGATAAAAAGGAATTGATGAGTATAAACAAGGTGTGGGGCAGGTTTCAGTGGATTAAAATGTGCAGCTGGGAAGTGGAAGACTTTGGTGTCTCTTAAACTTATGCCTGTGTGCGCTGTTGGTGTCACCCAAGTATTCCTGTCCCGTTACAGAACCGTCTAACCAGACTCACTGTTCTGAATTCCTGTGTTGTGCCCCATTATTTTGTTTTCAGCACCTTCCTGCTCTGACAATGGAAGAAACTGTACTTTGATGTACATGCTGTGTGCATTAATAGTAATTGCGAATCAGCTGGTTAGGGGAGAGTTGCCCGGCTCCCCTCGCTGTCTGGAGCCGCTCTGTACCTCCTCCCACTGCCTCTCTTCCCACGGAGCTGCCATAGCACGGCTGCCTCCAAGAGCCTGCAGCGTTCCCAATCCATCAGCTCCATCTCTGCCTCTCCCTGGCATTCACTGAGGCCTCACGCGCTGGTTTTTAGCGATTGCTGTTCCCAGAACTCAGCAGGCTGAAGGGGGTGGAAGGGAGATAAACATCAGAGTTCAACATCCAGACAAACACAGCAGAGCACACACAATAAATACATCCGCCCCCAAAATGCAAATACATCAGAAGAGATTCCTTCCCCGGGGCTCAGAGCAGAGCAGGCTCAGACAGGAGAGCAACACGATGAGGTGAGTGCGGTCACAGGGACCTCCCCAGCTCCTCTGGCCACTTGGCTTTGTGCAACCCTTAGAAAGCACGAGTGTGATTCTCACCTTGTTCAGCTGTTACTACAGTATGACTCCCCTGGTACCTCCTGATTTCTACCATTGTCAAGGGAGAAGGGGTGTTGGGCATGATGATTTCAGCTAGCACTGAGATAGCTGATTTGGTATCAAGACTGACAGCTTGGATGTGTGGCTTTTGGGGTATGATTTAACTTGGTGCTCACTCTTTCTCCGTTGATCTCTGTTCCTTTGACACAGGCTGTTGGTCTTGCTGGCTGTGCTTTACAGTGGAGTAAGCAGCAGCATTGTGCTGCAGAAAATGTATGGGAGGATCACGTCCCCCAACTTCCCAAATGGCTACCCAAATCACAAGGAGAGAATCTGGAATATTACTGTCCCCAAGGGATATTCTATCCGCATCTACTTCACCCATTTCAACCTGGAGTTGTCCTACCTGTGTGAATACGATTACGTGAAGGTATGTGTAGGGCAGGGTGACGTGTAGCAGGCTCAGTTGTTGAAAACTGTTTATATGTGATCCTGAACACATTTGGGACCAACAAAACTGTCATAAGCACTTGATTCTAGTCTGCTCGTAAAGTCCAGGCTCAGCTGATTTCAAAATGATGTGTTTATTGAGGCCCATGGGACCAGGAAGTAGAACTGATTGTCATGTCTGAAACTTGAATTGTTTGTGAAAATTCTGATGTTCCTCTCTCGTGAAGCCAAAGGTTTGAAATTTTGCCCAAAAAACCCCCCGTTTGAGCTTCATTTTGCTGAAGTTACACTGTGTGTTTTAAATTAACAAGTAGTGCTTTACACAGAGTGTAATGGGAGGCCGTAAAAGTGGAAGCGATAGTCTCAACAAGATACTGTCAGCTTGTCTAAAGGTGCACTCACAACTCTTGCTGTGGTGTGTTTGCTTGCTAATGTGAGAAACAACCTCAGGAAAAGGAACAAAGATACTGTCTTTGGGAAGTGTTTGGGTGATCAGGGGTGTCCCTGAAGGGTTTGTACTCCATGTGCTCCAGTCTAGGCTGATGTGAGGCCCTGCTACCTCTGCGCTCGTTTTGTTGTTTGCACGGGCCTGATCCACGTTAAAGAGGGAGCTGTGTTCACAGGGAGGACACAACCCCAGTGCATCAGCAGTACCTCTGAATCTGATGGCACTAAATCAGACAGCCTTGTTCCCGTTTAGGAAGGTCTCATTTCCATGGCTTTATGTGGCAAGTTGCTCCCATTCCCCCAAACAGTGGTGTTTTTCATGTCATTTCCTTCGGGCAGGACAGAATACTCATTTCTGGTAGGTCTGTAGTACCCAGTTCTTACTACTGTGTGCATGACCCCCATGTATCAGGACATTTCTGTTGTGTTGAAATTTACACAAGGTAAATGAGGAGCTGGAACTGTAATAAGTGAATCATACAGCAAGTGAGTCACTAGTTTAAAGGGACCTTTTACTATATATTTGAATTTGTCAGTGTATGAAACCTTTTTACTCCAATTGTCTGTGGCTTTACTTTATCTTACTGTGACTGAGAGTGCCAGGTTAACAAGAGCATTATAAACAAAGCATGGTGCTGAGAGCCCAGGCTGGCATCACAGCTTTATGTGGGCCTCTGAAAGGGAAAAGGGAGACAAAATTATGGGCTTAAGTCACAGAGAATAGGGGAAATTTTCTCTTATCTGTCCCTGGATCTGGCCTGACCTCTAGAATTACCTTTTGAGAGCATCCAAGCCGCCTTTCTCACACTATTAAACACATGCTTCCCAAGCCATGGCTGTGGGTTGGGAAGAGCAAAGCTCTGTGCTCATCTGGTGGATTTGTCTGCCTGTTTTGCAGCTGAGCTCTGGTGGGAAGACCTTGGCTACACTGTGTGGGAAGGATAGTACAGACACCGAGGAGGCTCCGGACAACAAGACATATGTCTCCGTTGACAACAACCTCATGGTAGTGTTTCGGTCTGACTACTCCAATGAGAAACCATTCTCGGGCTTTGAGGCCTTTTACGCTGCCGAAGGTGAGAGACCAACCTCTCTTGGAGATGAAAGAGACAGCTCTGGTGGGGCTGGTGCTTCCCTGTGCTCTTACAGACTGCGGCTGGTGGTGGGAGGTGGGAGAACGTGGTCTTGTTGGAGGGAGGCAGATGCAGAAGGGCACAGCAACTAAAGGCAGACAAGCCCACCTCACAAAACAGTGGCTCAGACCAAGACAAAGTGTTGCTGAAGGGTGTTGGTTGCCTAATTCTGTGTTTCACCCATTAGATATCGACGAGTGCAAACAGCTGTCTGATGGTGAACCCCTCTGCAATCACCACTGTCACAACTATGTGGGGGGCTACTACTGCAGCTGCCGGGTTGGCTACACACTGCATGGAAACAAGAGGACGTGCACAGGTGAGCTCTTGCTAGATTGGGAAATGCTTCCCTACCTGCAGCATCCCCTTAAGCCAGTCCCAACACTAGCATCAAGGTGAAAGCTGTGGTTTTTTATTGGTTTTGATGTTCCCTATGTGCCTGGTGCAGCAGGAGGAAGGTACAGGGGGTGAATAAGGGCTGTGAGCAGAGGGGTTTGCAGAGGATCTGTGGGCTAATTGCTGCCATTAGGGACAGCAGTAGCGTGTCACAGTGAAATGGTGCACTGGCAGCTGGTTTTGGTTACCCCTTAGGCAGCATCCACCTGCATTCAGCGTTAGACAGATTGAATGGAGAAGCAAGAAACTTGTCTTACACTGCCCACTGCAGATGCTTGGAGTTTTCATGAAACACTTGCAAAACTGAGTGTATCTTGCTCCCTGGTGCTGAGATACTGAGTACTGTGGACCCAAGTTAGTAGATGTGTTGGAAAAACTGACAGTTGAGTTGTGAAGTCTAATGGAGAAGTAGTTTGCTTACCCTCCCTGGAAGGACACAGGCCAAGAGGCAGCACAGTCCATGTGTCACTGACACCAGATACAACGATCCACTTGTTAGATGGGTGACAAGGCCAGGCACAGACCTCTTGGTCCAAAGAACATCCAGTGCGAGGTTGACCTGGCTGACCTGCTGGCTCTGCTTCTCAGCTCACAGCCAGGGACAGCTGATCTGTCCTCAGGCAGCGAGGTGTCTGAGTCAGCGCAGCCATCGGCATCTCTGGGTTCACTTCGCCCGCACGTGGGGTCACATTCATCCTTTGTGGGTGCACCTTTGCCCACATGGAGCTGAATCCTGTCTGGAAACAACCAGCACACGTTCTGCTCACTAAATGCTGTCAGAGGTGGGGAGATGGTTTCTCTGAGCTCCCCAGTGCTGAGATACAGAACTGGATCTAACTTCCAGTGCTTATGGCCACCTTGGCATTTAGCTTCCCAGCTCCAGCCTATTACAAACCCTCTCCAGCCACAGCTGCCTGGCTCTGATTCAGGGTTCAAACTCCTTGTGTCTCTAGTGTATTGGAACAGACCTGTTCATTCAACCTCCTCTTCCTAAAGTGATGGCTTTTAGCACAAGTGTATGGATTTACTTAGGCTATAAAGCATGTGCCTGGTCTTAACGTGAAGGTGCAAAATGAGTAGCTGTGAACTAGCAGCAGACTGGCAGCTTTGGATTGACCGTTCATGTGTGCACACTTCTGCCCCCTCCTTGAACATGCTGCTAACAGAGGGAGCTTATCAGTGCTACTGCAGGGCTGGGCTGCCCTGATGGGTAGAGCTGTGTGCATCAGGAATTATTATGGTGCAGCTGATGTTCTGGAACCTGCTCACATTTCAGAGGCCTTAAGATGCAAGGGCTGAAGCTGCTCCAGCCACTGGGCTGAGCTGCAGAGCAAAGATCTTTGCAGATCCCCTTCATGAGATGAGAGCAAAAGCTGCTGCTTTGATTTTTGGGCTCCTCTCCGACCAAGCTGATATTGACAGGCTTTTTTTTTTCTCCTTTATTTTCCAGCGTGAGATAATTAAGCTTCTCCGCGCTTAGGCAGAGATGGAGACAGATGTGCTGGGAAGAGCTGGTTTGCCCTCCCTTCTGACCTGCCTGTTGCAGTCTGCCCAAGGGCTGCAGGCTTCTCTGCTCTGTGACTTGTATGTCTTGGTTCCTTGTCTTTCAGACCTGCCTCCTGCAGACAATAAAGAGGCTGTTCCTTGTTGAAAGCTGATGGCAGCCTCTGGGGCGTTCATTTTCATGTATTTCCCATGTGTCACTAGGGGAAAAAAAAGAAGTTAGATAAGGCAGGAGCTGATAAGAGAGAAGTAATTGTGAAAGGCCCCTGAGCATCACAGCTACCTGAAGATACTTGAATCTCTTGTCCAGCTCTTGTTGCTTGACCCTCTGTAGTTCTTAAACTGCAACAAGACCAGAACCACACATTTGTTCCTTAATGTACCTTTTAGATAAGCTCTTGTCTGCACCCAGGCTTGTAGATGGAAACTCTTTATTTTCCGAGCCTGTTCACTCTTTGGCAAGGTTGGAATTTTGATGGGGTCTTTTTAATCCAAGTTGTGTGACTCCAGACATATCTCCCATTGGGAACGTCACGTTATGGCTGAAATGCGTTCTGGTGAGCAAAGCCTCAAGAGTTCCAGGAGTTTGGTAAAGTAACAGGAATGTCAGCCGGGCAGCTTCGGGGTCTTGCCTTCACACGAGGGAAGGCAGCAGTGCCCTCCCCACACAGATGCAACACAAGGAACCCTGTTCTTCAGTGCAGTTGTTTGTGGTGTGGATTGATCCTGTCTCAGTCCCTGACAGTGCCTGTCACTGCTCCACATTAACTTCCATTTGTTGTCCTTTTAGACTGTCCACTCTTTGGGCAGGGACCATCTTCTTAAAGCCTGTTGGATAAATGCTCTGCTCCAAACTTGTCAGTGATTAGAGCTCCCCAGCTCTGCGGAGGAAACAGGATTATTGCCAGAGGTTACCAAGTCAGAGCTGAGCAGCTGTAGGTGAACTGCTGAAGATTAAAAAACTCGAGGGATTAAGGAGCATTAGTCAGTCAGCATTTCCTTATTTCTGCAGTTTAGCAGAAGTTGCTTTTAATTGTAATTTATGAGATTCAGTTTCTCCAACCCCATCTCCACTCTTTAGTGCCTGGAGTGAATGGGGGAGGAGCCCTTTTCCAAGCAAGCATGGGAGGGCACGGAGAGGCTTTTAGATGAGACACTTCACTCAACTTCGGGTCACTGCATTTGCAGACTTCTGTCTTACCTTGGGCCAGTCCCTTGATAGCAGCTTTGAACGTCCCTCTGCAGAATGAGAGGTAACATCAGTGTCTTGACATACTGGGAAGATGCTTAATAAGTGTTGCAGAAGGTAAATGCTGCAGAGAACTGATGTGGGGGCAGAGAGGCTGTGTGAGCAGTAACCAAGGCTTTCCTCTGCCGTATTTAATCTTGTTCAGAAGCTGTTTCATGGTCACAGTGAATTATGATCAAAGCAGCTTGAAATTTTGCCATGGCGCGGTGATACAATTTATGACCCGCCTTTCATTGGAGACTTAATGAGCCAATGACAATGGACTTGCAAGTTTTGAGGGGGTCATTTTTCAGAGTTCAAGCCTCTGGCAAACAGCTCACTCTGATTCTAATAAAAATACGGCCTAAGCATAATTGAGCACTCTCTGGACAGCTCTAAAGCTTGTACTGAGAAGTCAAGGGACAGCATTTCTGCTGGCAGGTGTTAAAAAATTATTTGATCCTTTTTGTGCTGGCTAGTTTATGACTTTCTTGCTTGCAAACTTAGGGAAAAAAATACTGCCCTGACAAAAGGAACTCCCAGTGGCCACATCCAGGAGATATTAGGTCCAGTTTAAGCCTTTTCATCCTCAAGCTGCAAAGTCCCTTGGGCTAGCAGAGGATCTTCTCTTGGGTCAGCTAGTTTGGGCTACTCATGTGAGCACGAGTCAAGAGAGTTTATTGATGATGACTCACATTTTTCCAAACTGTAATACGAAAATCTCACCTCAAAATTATGAAACTGAGTTTAAAGGAGACAGATGTAATGAAGCATAAAGAACTATTAGTCTCTGTCTTTCTCTTCCTTTAGACCTTCAAAACAAGGTGAAGGCCAGTTTTCTGAATTAGTGAGGTATTAATGGGGCACTGTTCTTACTTGTAGTGTAACAGTGTGGGGATCCCAGCTCTGTGCAGAGAAGTGGTGCTGATTTTTGCCACGTGAATGCAGAGCAATCACTGCCCTGAGGAGCTGCTCAACCAGCACCGGGGAGGCTCAGAGCAATTCTGGAATATGCATGTTAGAATGGATCCGGGCTCAGGATCCCTCATCTCCCGTTTCCTGCCTCTGATACTGCCCAGCATCTTGTGCTTCAGTGGGACAGACAGTTCAGTGGGTGATTTTTAAAGTGTGCTTCCATACAGAAGCGTAGATCCTGTGTGGTCTACAGGCTACTTAGCTGAAGCTTAATTTAGGGCTCTAGCGTATAAAAGTTTGCCTTAGACATATAACAGCACGTTGCACAGATTAATTATATGCTATTTCTTAATCCTGATTTTATATCAGTTGTGGTTTTTGGCCTTTAATTTCATCACGTGTCCCTTTGCCCTTTATTACTAGAGAAAGTAAAGAGCCTTCAGAAACCATGGTGTTTGTTTCTACACAGTGTTCTTCTGTCTCTCCATGCGTGTGTGTGTGTTACTGCGCAGTGGTCTTTTCTCCACCGTTTCTCTTTTACATATTTTTATGCTGAGCTTTAGCCTAATAACATTCCTTTAAACATAGTTTAAGGAAAGCAGATGATAGGATCATTATGGTAGACAGAAACTGAGGTGTTGCTGCTGTCTAGCTCTGATGTTCTTGTAAGAGGGAATTTAATCTCGCCAACCTGAGTATCCCCTCTGTGCTCAGTAGACCCTGTGCCTGGGGAAAGCTGGGTTTGTAGGTAACAGGGAAGGACTCTGATGCAGAACTAGCAGAAGATTTGAGATTCTGGCTTCCTAATGATTTCAGTAGGGAGTCAAGGGTGTAAAGATAGTACTTATTATATTGTGGCTTGTGTGCGTAGGGTAAGACTTCCCACTAAGTCATCTTTCACACCCAAGGATTCCATGTTTTCATTCCTGTAATTGCCTCCAGACTGCTCCTGTAGGGGCTGTAGAGCTGGGACAGATATTCACAGCGTGAGGAAATTTCAGTTTTTCAGAGAAGCAGATTTTTTTTGGTAGATAGATGGCTATGAGCAGTGTTCTGCTAAAGCTGCATATCAAGTAGGGTTTGGGGTGTTTCTCAGCCTGGGCTTGCAGCAGGTGGAGGGGAGCGTTATAGTGGGACCTGAAAGCCTGGAGGGAGGTGGGGAACTGTGCGTCAGGGGCAGCATTGTCAGCAGCACCTGCAGCAGCTCAGGAGAGTGTGCTGCAAAACATGCTTTATTCTTACAAAGCCGTCAAATGCTTCTGTAGTTTGAGGCACAATCAGTGGAATTACAGAAACGTGTATTTAGCTGGGAAGAATGAGGTAATAACAATTAAGGAAAAAAACCCACTTGCTGATAATCCTCTACAAGTATAGCATGAAAGGAAAAGATTTAATTCCCATTGTAGCTCGATTTCTGCAAAGCAGTGTGCTTTTAGGCTGGATTCGGAGGCAGCCAGAACCTCCAGGTGACTTAGTCAAGCTTTCTCTGCTTCTTTGGACCAGGAGAGGCGTTTCAAACAGGATTTAGAAATTATGAGAGTGCTCAGTTTTAACAGAATAGGCATTTCTAGGCATTTATTAGCTGTTTTACTCTGTGTTTTTGTCAGCTGTGTTTGAAAACCTGGGACAATGAATTCAGAGTAGAGCACACAGATGCTCAGTCACTGTGGTGATGGATAGGTCTATGTGAAATAAAAGCAGCTGCTCATAACTTTCTGGGAAGATGGACAGGGAAAGATTGTTCTGAAATTACAGCTTGTGCTAAAAGAAGCAGTACCCGCGTGCATCATGACTTGGGTTGTGGCATTAGTTGTGCTAAGAGCCACACAAACATAAAATAAAAAGCTTATAATTTTACCCATTCCTGCTTTCCTTTCCAAGTAAAAACTTGTATCTAAATACCTCCTGTAGCAGCAAGGAGGGCTGTTGGATGGATATGGGGTGGAAGCAGGTTTCATTCTCTGAAGAACAGGAGCTTAGAATCTTGGCCAATGAAATCCATAGTTAGTTAAGGGACAATAATGTTCATGTTCTCGTTCACAACTTGGTCCCCTTCCATTAAAATGACAACCTTAAACTGCATGGTCTGTTTTAGTTGGTAATCTGTAATTAATGACTGGATAATGGCATTTGTGTTGGTGGAGCTCAGCACAGTGTGTTTAAGGATGCAATCCGAAGTCAAACAATCTCCCTCTTAAAATCAATTCCGTGTCACAGCGGTGCAAAAATACCTGGGTGTTATCAGGCAGTGCCTCATTCCTCATCAATTAAAGGATTGCTCCTACAGCTTTTGCAGCACATCATAAAGCCTTTGTTCCCAGCTGATCAAAGCACCACTTCACAGCGATCACATGCTGTCAACAAGCAGAGATCCTCGGGGCACTTGTGGCTCTTCCTTCTTGCTTCTCTTCAGCAGGGAGCATTTGTGGCTCCAATTGTGTTGGCAAGAGGCACAGCTGGTTTTGCTCAGAGAATACAATTACATTCTAAATGTCTGGCAACAAAGGCATTAAAAAAGAAAGAGCTGCATTCAGAGGCTTCTGGAATTGAGGAGCTGGTAGCTGTCCTGCTGCTCTCCACACGCCCGGTGGAGCAGCCAAGCTGCAAATTTAACATCTTAGAATGTTTCTGAGGAGCTTCCAGCCATCACACGTATTCCTGACCTCCAGCCCTGTCACTAAGTGGTGCTTTCCTGGGATCCTTCCCTGCCCTGCTTCTGGATAATGCCCGTGCCCTGGTCCTGCCACAGCAGAGAGAGAAGGCAATTTTCTCAACACTGACAAGTGCCCACTGGTGAAATGTGTGAGAGGCTTCATTTCACAGGTAGGGAGACAGGGGGCTCTGAAACTTTCTCGAAGGGATAGACTAGTGTAGAAAAGGATCCACTGCCTTTACCCAGTCTGGCTGAACTGAGTTAATACAACTGTGATCCTCATTTTCTGTTGTTTTTTTTTTTTCTAGCCCACTGTCAGGGTCAGATTTTTACTGAAAGGCTTGGAGAAATCACCAGCCCTGACAATCCAACACCTCATCCCTGGCTCAGCTGCCACAGCTGCACTATCCAGGTAGAAGATGGCTCCCGGATCCCCCTGGAATTTACAGAGACCTTTCATGTGGAGGCACTCCCAGGCCTGTTGTGCCCCTGCCATGTCCTCAAGGTAAGGTGAAGCTTATTGCATTTCATCACAGCTTTTGTGAGACAGGGCCAGTTCTCCCACTGCATCTTCTTCAGCCTGAGTTTCATCATGTTAATCTACAGTGTCATCTCCCACTGTCTCTCCTCATTCATTTCTTCTTCAGTTTTGTTGGGGTTTTCTTTGTTCCTTTCAACACCTTCCTTTTTTGGGAAATTCACCAAAGCCAGAACCAAGCAGACCTACGTGTGATGACTTGGTAGATTCCATCACAGCCTCTGCCCTTATCACAGATCAGTGATCCCAGTTTGCTTCTCTCTAGCATGGATCCAGTGGCTCCCTGGGAATTCCCTGGCAGACGGGGTGCTCTGGGAAAAGGCACCCTGTGAGTTACAGAGCGAGGAGCCATCACTCCGACCACTTCCCTGTTTTTTTAAACTTTGCAAGAAAGGACTGTTCAAATTCAGGGAGTCATTGTATTAAAATTGGTTTGTTTGTCCATAAGCCTCATGGAAGAAAGAATAAAGACGGTTTGTCTTTTCTCATTCTTTTTATACCCAAAAAGCAATTTGGCCCATTCTGTGGAAAGACTTTGCCTGCAAAAATTAAGAGGCAGGTTAGTGTTGGGAATATGACTTCCATAACTGAGCTCTCAGGAGCACACTCTGGGAGGAAGATGATGGTGAAATACATGGCAGCAGGTGGGTGGGAGGCCTCTGTTCAGTTCTCAAGTCCAGACTATTCCCAGAACTTCATTCTGGAAAGGCCTGAATAGTGACCAAATAGTAGTGCTTTGAAACACTGGTTTTATGCTCATTTTTCAGTAGTAAATCAAGCCATTGAACTATTAAACAATGTAGCTGCAAAGTGGTTTCCTTTTGAAGTAAAGTCTTAAGGGAACTCCAGAATTTGAGTTGATCTTACAGTTCAACTCGGATCCAGACATATTGATTTTATTTTAGAGAACAATTTTCCCACCTTGTCAAGAGTTAGGAGGTGTGTGCTGAGACAGCAGAGGTCCTGGGACCTGGCTTCACACAGGTCGCTGCAGCTTTTGGTCCGAGTCAGGCACCTTTTATGTTTATTATTCCTTTTATGTTTATTATTCCTTTTATTTTATTATTCCTTTTATTCTCAGCAATTGTAGATCTGTGTCTGTGTGAGTGACACAGTGTCAAGAAAGGACAGAGAAAAGGTGGGGTTTCCCCTAAAAGCCCTTAGGAGTAAGTAACGAATTCACTCCTAAAGGGAATATTCTGTTTTGGGATCCTGTGCAGGTTGGCCGTGTCCCAGTCCTGAAGCACCACCCCATGGACACACGGCACCAGTGCAGGCGCGGCACGGTGTGGGTGACTGCTCTGCTCTCTCCAGTGACATCAGAACCCTGCTACTGCCACTGCCAGCCTCAATTCCTCAGGGACTGAACACGTAGGTGCCTTTTCTCATGAACAATTTCTCTTGCTGTCACTGAGGTGCATTGAGTGCACTGAAATTCTCAGCAATGTCCCTTCTTTGCTGTCACAGAATCACGGAATGGTCAGAGTTGGAAGGGGCCTTAAAGATCATTGAGTTCCAACCCCCCTGCCCTGGGCAGGGACACCTCCCACCAGACCAGGGTGCTCCAAGCCCCATCCAGCCTGGCCTTGGAGCTGGGAGCCTTGGCCTCCTCCCCAAAAACGAGGTGTTTGTGTCCTCCTGTGTGTACAGGTGCCCACACGGGTGCTCTTTGAATGCTGCCGCTTAGAGATTTGCTTGTAATTATGTCAGAAGAAAAGAATGTTTTTTACAAAAGATTTCACCAGATCAGTGTAGCGAGGGTTTTAAATGTTCCTTCATTTCTCCCTGCGTCTCTCCAGGGGAGTTAAATCTGGAATGAAGACTTGGGCCTTCCTGCTGAATGGCGCGTTTCAGACTTAGCTCTTAATAACACCCTGCTCCCAGCAGGCAGTTTCGGGAGATGCTCTGGTCCCTGTGTGCTCACAGCAAGATCTGAAAATCACGGTTAGGTGATTGTGTCTTAGGACAACTGTTGTTATTTCTGTAATTAACCCTGGAATTAATTTGACCTTTTATTTCTAGTCCTGCTTCTTGGAGGATTAAAACGTCGCGAAGTCTTTCGTAGCAGAATGTCAAAGGGAAGCTTCTTGGAACAAACCCATGGTGAAATGCATCGGTGAGTCAGGGCTAATATTTGTGAATTTGAAAATTTTTGTGTAAATATTTATCTAGATTTACAGAACCTCTCAGTTAGGGAGGCAGAACCACCTCGTTGTAGAACATTCACTCTAGAAAACAGATTAACGCCTTTATGTCGTAACGCCTCTGATTTTCAAAATGGCAAGTGCTGCACAATTGCTGCTTAACGGGGAGGACCCATAACCAAACCAGAAATGTGAGAGTCACAGTGTGAGCTGTGCTCCTGCAGTTAATACTGACCTTATATTTATCTGTTAAATTGTTCACTATTTTAACATCCCTCGGGCTCGCCCCAGGCTCCCTGTTGCTGCCGGCGTTGTGGATCAGCGCCACAAACTGAGGTCAGTCCTTGCAGAGAGACAAGCTGAACCTTCAGCTTATTCCAGCTCTTCAGGAGAATGCAGTTTCATAAATAACTACATTGTTGATGCTTTTAAATTGCTTGGTGTTGTTTCTGAAAAATGAGCCACACTCCAGAAGTGTTTGTGGGGGGAAAAGGCACTGAATGCCCTTTGGCAGAGCACTGCCTTGGGGGCTTTCTGGTTTTTTATTTTTAATGCTTGAAATGCTAATTTAGTTTCTGTGTAAAATTACTCAAGATTCAAGACAGTTTTGAAAGAAACATTTTACAGTGTGAAAGCTTAATTGTTCCTCTTATCTTTTAGATTAGAATATCCATATATTCCAATTACCTTCATTTACATTCAGAACAAATACTTACTTCTCTGCACCCAAATTCCTCAGCAAACCCGTCTCTCTTGATGACAGAACATTCCAAAGGATGTGATACCCACTAATGAAAATTGGACTCCAAATCAAATAGTCATTTGCAAGCAATTTTACTATTCCAAAACAATCTAGAAATTACATTTAGAATCATTAACTTAAATTAATCCATGGGAGCATAATAATTCAGTGTCCGAATCTTAAATTGTTTTAACAGTTATTGCTGCCTTCGTTGTTGTGTGGAAGAAGTGGAGAAGTGGGAGCCTGGAGCCTTTCCCTGGCAAGTGACGTTAGTGACAGAGCGAGGAGGATTAGAGGTGGGTCACTTCTATGGGACAACTGGGTTCTAGCAGCAGTAGTTGATCAAAGAAACCCCTCAACTTTGAGGATTAAATTGGGGGATTTTGAACAAATGCTCGTTTTGCTAAGAAGCAGCAGAAAAAATTTTTCTTCATAAAGGTTATAAAAAATGATCTTGCCAATGTTGAGACTGTTATTGTACTGGTTACACTGGAGCAGAAAGTCTCATTTAGCACCAATATCACCCCCATTTGTTTACCAGGTAAAGACAACATCAGCCACAGGCCATACACAGGGGTAGACAAACGCACCATCTGATGGAACCCCTTCTGGCAGCCACGGGGGGGCAGGGGGGGCACTGGCTCAGGGTCCGTGATGGGTCCTGGGGGTCAGACTGGGCTGCTGTGGGGCAGGAGTCACCCATTACAGCCTTTGCATTGGAAGCGTTATTTTAAATAATTCTTGTAAGACTTTTATTTGCAATTCCTACCAGCTGTTACTTAGATTACATTCACGGCTGGAGTATTTAAATTCTTAATAAACATTAAGGATTGAGTGCTGTTTTCTAAGCGTAACCATTCTGTTAAAAAAGACAAAAAACCTTGAGTATGTATTTGTTTTCTGTCCCACCAGCTGTTAAAAGACCTTTAAATGTAAAAAATTGCCATTTGAAGGCAAAGAAGGTGTTACTTATACTTTATTTAAAGTACAATTTTAAGTTTTAAATAGTGCTGTGGATTCGTGTAGGACGGCAGCTTTTGAACCAACTTGTGTCCAGCAAAAGCACGTGGAGCATTGAGGTACCGTCCCCCTCTCCCTCCTGAGAAACCCCAGCAGCTCTGGCTGAGGCTGCATTTGGGGACATTTCCCTGCAGCGCTGTGGCTTCTCAGCTGACAGCAAATTCTCAGAACTAATTAGAAGCAATATTATTAAAAAAACCCTATTTTGACAGCATCTATCCCCTCGTCTACAGAAACTTCCTCTTTCTTGCATCTCACAGTCTGTCATTGGCGTCTCGCCTTCTAGAATGATGTAACTGAAATTGAAATCTTTTGGAAAAAAAACCAAACATGACTCCAAACACTTCAGTATGTTTTCAACAGTAGTTTATTTACTCGCTTATAAACACTGGGGTACGCAAAGCAGTTCGAAAATACCACTGAAACTTGAAAATTATTCTAAAATGTTCAGGGATTTTTGTTTGAGGGTGAAGGCAGGCTGAAATTATTAGCAAAGATTACTCAGTGCTGCCAACCAGCCTGTTAAAACCTACACCTGGACAATTTAAACAAAATTAAAGCCATGCTAAATACAAAAACTTACCATGAAGTTCCTTGCTGGGGGGTCACAGTTAGGCTTTGGAGGTCCCAGAATACCATTTTTAAGTGTTACTCAGCAGAAGTAGCTGGTTAATAGTGCAAGTGCTAAAATGCAAAATTCACAGATGGTAGAGTTTGGAGATTATTCCAACAGGTGCAGGAAAAAAAAAATAATTCCAAGCAACTTTTTGCAGTGGGATATGAACAACAGGAGTGTGGGATTAACTCTCAGCCCCCACGTCCAGAACCCCTCTGAAACCCCTTTACGATGTACATCGAGACCCAGCATTTTATACTGCAAGTGGCAAGCTACCAGGAGTGCAGCTTTGGCTGCTGTTTAAATGGCTTGCTGTTCAGAAGCCTCAATGTAATAAACAGTAATAAAGATACAAGTTAAATAGGTAAAGAACTGTGTAAATATCCATATTCAACATGTTCTTAGCTACAGTAGTATGGTGTATGAAAAACAGGGATTGAGGTTCAGTGGGTTTCAAGTGCACGTAAATTAAATCCCTCAAGCTCTTACCACCAGTGGAAATGATCTTCCACCAGTTTCTGCTGAAACATCCTGCTCTCTGTTAAGAAGCTGCAACTTAGTTGACACTTCTGCAGCTGTAAAACTTAGTTTTTCAGATTAAGGCTTCTCTCAAAGTCTATGTATGGTTACTAATGCTTCATTCAGGAGGAAGGTCTTTCCTGTGGCTGGTTTCAAACATGAGCTCGTAGCTATTTCTGAGCTAGAAGTGTAGCAGGACCCTGTTCCCCAGGAGTGGGCAGGGCTTGGAACAAGTTAAAACCAGCCATCCCCAGAGGAGATGCTGTGGCCAGAAAGACATCGTGGTGGTGTCTGTCTCCCCCAACCCCCTTCTGATGAGGAGCTCCCCACTCCTAAAAGAAGAAGTAAGTAACGTTCCTTGGCAGAGATGCAACGTGGAGGAAGCTGCTTACCAGTCTAGGTGCGGGCACCCAACGGGGTGGGCGCTGGATTTTTAGCTATGTACGTATCACTGAACAGTGCAAAAATACTGTGGTTAAAGTTGGGTGTCGGGTACCGATACGTGGTGAGCGGTGGCTCCGTTTGACTTGTCAACTTTTAGAGCATGTTTATCTGAAACAGACCGAATTACTGCAAAAAAGGCTTTACAGAAGTTCATCTCAAAAGGGTAAAATTAATTAACTGCTATGAATTCTTTGCATTCAGGGCTGCAAAACAAAGACACATATTACTTAAATCAGTTTTATTTAAGAATTTCCTACAGTGACAAATCTTATAAAAAGCATCCAAACACGAAACTGCAGCAAACAGCATTCTTATGGATATCTTACAGACAGTGGAGCTCCACCCTGGAGAGGCACACTGAGCTCGCCGGGAGCTCTGCCGCGAGAGCTACCGCAAAGCACACCACAAGCTCAATGTTCTCAGCACAAACCCCATCATCTTCGAGTCACATTGCCACACTTACAGGTCATTAACAGAAAAAAAAACAACAAACACACACCATACAGCATTCACAGCAGTTGACATAAGGGAAAAAAAATACAAATATTCATTTCACATAACACATTCAGCTAATTGATTAACTAGGTATAAAACCCACTTAAAGTCTTCCACATATGGATGTCCTTTGAATGCAATAAACACTCGTACTTTTATTTGCTATCATTGCTCTCCGCACACTCTCTCACCAAAGCCACAGGATTGAGAGACATCTCGCCAAGTAAAATAAAATCCCATGAATGCACCACCAGGTCTCCGCATGCGCTCTCTCCTTTTATCTCGCTCATACCAGCCCTCTCATGCCTCGGCACCACCAGCAATCCCACACAAGGTTTCAAAAGTTCAAACAGCCTTCTGGTTCCATCTCACAGCCTTGCGTTCATAGCGTTGATACGACTCCATGAAATAAAGAGTAGCGGATAAAAATGGAACACCCACCGTCTAAGACGCAGCATGTGCGGTGTGATGAAGTATTCTTGGATGAGAAAGCATGTAGACAGAAGTATTCCTAAGGCAGAATATTTACAGCACTGCTTTCAATGAAGTGCTTCTTCCATACACATTTGAAATGAGATGAACTGCGGAGATTAAATGAAGCCTTCATATCGTACTTTAGTATGGAGGGGAGACAGTGTTAAAAAAAAAAGAAACAAAACAAAAACAAACCACAAACGAAACAAAAAGGACACCGTGTTCTCCAACTGGGCACTTGGAGAGTCTTATGGTGGGATCAAATTAAAAACAAGAGGGAGAGAATGCTGTTTCTGACCAATGGTTTCCATTTTGAACATGCAAAGAATTCAGGTAGCCAGGAAACAAGGGACAAAGTATTACAGGAGAAACCTTTCCTATCGACTGTAGTGTTAGTTTACCTATCGGGCAAACAGCAGTCCACTTCCAAACATTCAGTATTCCAACAAGATATGTAACAAAACCTATAAAATTCCTTTTACCTTTCTTTTGTCTTTTTTTTTTTTTTTTTTTTTTTTGTAAAAAAGAAAAATGTCAAAAATACTGCTGAATATACTGCACACTGAACAAACTGATTTGGAAAATTTTTAGTATATATGTAATTTACAGTATACTTACCATGAGTTAGAAAAATTTGATTTCCCACCATAGAGTCAGTATCAGAGCCCACTGCGTCTACATGCCCCAGCCCGAGGATTTGGAATCCATGCTCGAACCAAAGCCCCCGTTAAACCCGCTGCTGGAGCCGGCGTTGGAGGCCGAGCCCCAGCCTATGGCTGCCCCCGAGTTGGAGCCGCCGTAGGAGTTATTCCCTGAGCTAAAGCCCTGGTTCTGCTCCCGCTGCATGTTGCCCTGGGGCTGGTTGTTCCCCGAGGGCCCCGACTGGTTCTGCTGACTGGCCAGCATGCCCATCATGCCCCAGCTGCTCTGCAGGGCCGCCTGCGCCGCTGCCATCATGGCAGGGTTGATGCTAAAGGCTCCGAAGTTCATCCCTCCTCCCATGTTACTGCCCTGGTTGTTGCCCAGGCCTCCCCCGCCTCCTCTGCTGTTGCCAAACCCCCCCTGGTTCCCAAAACCTCCCGGGTTACCACCGAATCTTCCACCTCTCTCTAACTGTCTATTGCTATTGTGCTTAGGTTCAGCATTGGATATATGTACGCTGATTCCTTTAATGATCAAGTCCTCTCCACAAAGAGATTGGGCAACCTATAAGAAATAAGGGATTGATTAAATGTGTGTTAGACTTCCTTCTTTTTAAATGTTAGTAGTACAAGATAAAAAAACCCCACATGATTGAGAGCAGATATTTAACCTGCAAAGGAAGCATACGTATATACTGAATCCAATTTGAAGTGTTTTATCTTTGCATTCACTGCTGCACTAACTGCAGTGTGAAAACCCTCCTGTACAACAGCATCTGAAAAGTGTCACCTTCAACAGGTCAATAAATTAAACCAGCCTAATACCACTGGGATGCTCGAGACTGATTCATGTGTAGTTCAGAAATAACACTCCACCAAGCTACTGAAACACAGGCTGTCTAAATGTGAAGTTAAAGTAATTTTAAGACGTACCTGATCATCTGCAAATGTAACAAAAGCAAAAGCTCGGAAGGGTTTAGGAATGAAGACATCTACCACTTCTCCATACTGGGCAAAGAACTGCCGCAGTTCGTCTGCCGTCATGTCCTCCGTGCAGCGCCCCACAAACACCTTCCTGCTACGCAGAGGTTCGTCAGGGCTTTGCTGGAGAGAATTGAAGGGAGAAAAAATGAAAAAGAAATCACCATTATCTTTAAAAACCAAGTTACATTATGATAAATCTCTTCATCTAGCCTGTTCTGAGCACTGAAAATCAAGAAAGTTTGAGATTGTAAAATAAAGACCTAAAAAAATACAAGTTCTCTTCAGAACACACCTGCACCTTGGTACAGATGGAGAAGAGTCACAAGAAAATGATGACAGGAGCAATACACAGGAACAGTGACAAGGCCACTGCAGGAGGGTGCTTTTTTGGGGGTAATAACTGCATATATACACAGAGGAAATAGAAGCTTCACATTCAATTTTGAATTCAAAGACTCATTCTGATCTTCCCTGTGTTAGTTATTCCGCCTGCTCTATCCTTCATTTATTCATGCAGACAAGTTAAGCAGGTACTGCTGGACCTTAAAACACGTTTCCAGATTTCCATCTGTGTTTAATTCCCCCACATCACGAGCAGTTTTCCCAACACTTCACTTCCTGCTCACCCACCTCCTCCCTGTTTCCCTTCCTTGCTCTCACTTGTCCTGGCCGCTCACAGACTCAAAAGCCACATCCAAGAGTGTTACTAATCTGTTCATCTGCTCACCCAGCACAGCTGCTAAAAAGGTTCACTTCCGAGCATTTGGTAAAAATAAAACCAGCGACAAATATGAAAGTACCTTAGAATTGGGAAGTTTACAGTCGCACCATCTTCCATCTATCATGTGCCGCTGAGACATCACTTTCACCTGGGTTTCATAATCCGTAAACCGAACAAAACCAAAACCTTTTGAGTGGCCAGTTTTAATGTCCTTCTTAACCTAAGGCAAAAAAACAACAGAAAAAGCAGACTTAATAGTCTCACAGAAACAGTGCGTGTGTCACTCAGCTGGCCCCGGATCCGTGCGGTACAGACCAACGGGCAGTCACCACCCAGACGTAACGCGCTCTCCCTGAGTTCAGTGACGTTCTGTTGGAGGGTTTATCAGTCTCGCAAACACTCCCATCACAGCACTCTAATTCCTTAGCACGTATATAAAACCACACATGTACTAGCTGCAACAATTAGCAACAGTAATATCAATTAAAAAGCTCTTAAACACACTGTACTCATTAAGCTGATCTGCATGAATCACCACTCCCAAACACCCCTGGCCATCCGTACCCGCACACCCAGCAGCTGCAGAGCTCAGGGAACAAAACACAACCTGGGCACAGAGACAGGGGCCTCAGACCTTCCCCGAGTCCACGTGGCTCTTGGTCTGTTTCTGCTGCCTGTCTCCAAAGACCCCATTCCTACCTAATGTCCCTCCTCACTGGAGCTGCAAAAGGACTTTACCTGCACCATCAGAACTTCTCCAAACGTACTGAAATATTCCTTTAGGTCTTGTTCGGTGGTTTTCCAGGGAAGTCCCAAGACTATTAAATCCGAAGTCTTCTGAACTGCTCGTTTCACTTTCACAGCTGATGATGCATCTGTTTCATCCATTTTCCTCTTATTATCTGAATAAAGGAAGCACATCAGACATCATCCTCAGCTCATTGTTTCCACCAATTAGGAACCAAATGGTATAAAATCAGACTGTGATAAGAAAAAGTACAGACAGCAGAAGACACGTGCTGGCAGCATATTGCAGTAATTCAGATCCAACTATAAGGAGAGAAGAAAGAACTGTCTACACTTAAGTCCTCCTCCAAAATGAGATTTGACTTAGTTTTGTCTTAGTTTACTAAAGTATTATCCAGTAACATTCACAGTCCTATAGGGATGTGGAGAAAACATGACTTTGAACAGGAATACTTCATTAGTGATTTACTTCCCCTTCTTTTTTTTTAGGGGGGGTAACAGGGGAGAGTGGTTCAGGCTGCTCTTTTCCTGAGCATTTTTAAATGGCACCTCTGAGCACACCATGGCTGGAGGTGTGCTCTTTTCCTGAGCATTTTTAAATGGCACCTCTGAGCACACCATGGCTGGAGAAGTGTCTGTGTGTACACGGAGATCCCGTGACACCCCAGTCATCAGAGGTGTGTGTCAGGCTGTGAGCCCTCCCAGGGTAACACAAAACTTTGTCATTAAAGCACGTGGATGGGCAGAGTTAAAAATCTTACTGCACTTCTCAAAACTCAGTGGGGCGAAATCTACTCTGCATAAATACTCTCTGAATAAAATCACTGAAGTTCAGTAAATAGGAGGCTTCAACAGTAACGCTGCACCCGTGTTAAATTAGCAGTGGTTTGCCCCAAAAAGCCGAAGGAACGAAGACAAACCTTTGGGGTAATTAACAACATAGACGAGGTTTCCCCAGCCGGCTTCGGGGGCGTGCAGGATGCCCTCCACCAGCCGCACCCCCCTCATGCACTGCGACACCGGGTTGCGGTAGCGCAGCCCGCAGGCCCCGGGGAACTGGGCGGTGACGGTGGAGAGCAGGACGGTGCCGTCGTCCTCCGAGGGGATCTCGATGGGCTCATCGTTCTCGTCCTCCGTCACCCGGATATACTCCGACATCTTCGCTGGAAGTTACTGAAGGAGAGAGGAGCGGGGGGAGCGGGCATGAGCCACCACCTCCTTGATTCGGTTTTCATCGCCCCGGCCGTGGAGCACGAGCGCGTCTGTGCCGGTGGCACCGCGGGGCGCTCCCAAAGGCCTCACCCCCCGACAGCCCGGCCCCGGCCCCGCCGACAGACGCACGGACCAACCTCCCGCGGCCCGTGGAGGGACCGACAGCGACGGCTCCCCCAGCGCGCAGGAACCTCCCAGCGCCGCCGCGGCCTCCCCCAGCGCGGCCGTTGGAACGGCCCCCCTCGGCCCCGCCGGGCCCACCCGAGCCTGCGACCTCCGGGCGCGGCCC